ACTACTTCAGTTTCCCGTGTTTTATCAGCGCAAAGACAAGTTAATGACGCTCGTAAGGAAGTGTCTGGGGATTTGGATGCTTGTTTGCCGAGAAAATCGTAAAGATTTTCGCAAAATCAAATACACAGATCTGACAAAACATCACTTGTCCGTGAACGATTGCTGAAAGAGTATCAAACAACTTGGTGGTTTTTTGAGAGAAGTTTTGCGAATATGTGGGCCAATTTAAATGTTCATCTCTAAAGTAATGCAAGTCTTTCGAGATAAATAGGTTTTGCTGTACCGTAATAGATAGAAATTTTAACTGATTAAGTAGCCGATTCGATAGACATTGTTGATTCCCCGGAAGGATCTTCGCACCGATTACCGCCAGGCATGGTTGGAACCGAAAACTTTCCAAAGAGTACTGCCTCAGGCCAGTTATCTCTGATGGTGAAATTTGGATGGCTGAGGTTAATCAGTGGCTGTAAATGATGGACTCTGACTCAGTGTCCGAAAACCTCTGTATCATCCACTACGGATACCTGCAATTCGCTTGCATCTCCCTTATGTGCTCCAAAGATTTTGCATAACCCTCACCTCGTTATAACGCTTGGGAAGGCCGGGGCCCTAGGCACACATGTCTCAGTTCATGCCGCTTTGCAAAGTTAAAATTTTTAACCACTTGTTTCATTCAACAAAATTGTTACTTTAATAGCGTTGTTATTACTACCTTCTGGTGATTTACACATTATGGATGCTTTTCTGAGGCGCACGGGCTCGAATCTGCCTGCCCAAAAGGAGTACTCCATCAACTGCCAAAACAAATTTGCTTCTGAAGTAAAAGGATCCGTTGGAGTGGCTGCGAGGGGGGTGAAGAGGCCCTGCTACTCACCAACGCACTGTGACCGCTCTTTTTAAAAGGCCGTTGACCACCCCCCACACACATCTCCATTTACAGATTATCACTTTGCATTCCCACGCTTGGCATCGGACCATCACACAGGACCATCGACAGGCAAATTATCCATCAAAGTTGAGAAGGACGCAGTAAAATCGCCTCAGCGCACAACTCTGTTGACGATGCGGCATTTTGCGTTGGCTCTACTCACAGTGTTTTTGCCCGTTTGAAAGAGGTGCTTGTGACCGTTGTAACGCCAGTGTTCGTATAGCCCACTACTACACTGGTAGGGAGCCGTTTTCGGGGCTACTGTTGCACCTTCGCCGGACACCTGCTGAACCTCGGTGCTGTACATTCTGCTTGACTGATAAGCTTTTTTGGGTCTCAGGGAAGGCTTGACAGTTCTGGATAGGTAGGTATTAGCATGATGGAGAAGTGAACACTCCCATTGATGGGATGATGCGTGCTGATTGGAGCCAATAGAGGTGTCTATGGACAGCGGCTACATCAGTGTCGTCGTCGTCCACATGCGACATTTCAATAGCCAAAATGACACTTGCTGAGAAATATCCGAAAGCGGCATCAACACAAAAGTGTCCGAGGAGTAGGCACAGGGTAGCAATTTCACCTGTAAAAGGGGAGGACTGTGAAACGAGAATAAATTTACAATGAAGAATGTGGTGTTAATTTCTTTCTCTATTTCTGTTTCTTATTCTAGACCGGTGTCCCTACAACCAGAGATAGTCACTAGCGATGGCCAGTGCATTTCCCTAATTCTCAATAAATATCTCATAAAGGAATAAACATAGATACAGAGGTGCTTGCAAAAGAAAACGGTGACGCTGGGATCATATATCCTCTCAGTTACAAGCAATTGTGGTAACTGATGCTGCTGGGTTGTTTTATACAGCACCTGTTAAGTTGTTATGGCTAGCGCTAAAGGTTGACCAAGGAGAGTGCTGTTGACAACACCCTAAGAGGAGAGGAGGTATACAATATACTGGATGGTTATTAAATTCTTAGTTTTAATTTCGAAGACATTTAATGTCTTATTTTCGTATATTTTTAACATCTGTGCCAGCGGTCAAGCCATCTTCTCTCCCATTAACATGCATTCTTTGAACTTTAATTCTCCTAATGACGGTGGCAAATTTCTAACCCGTTTGCATAGTCAACAGTTTTTCTTAAATATGCGTGCATAAAACTAAACCCAAATGTTAACTACGTTTCATACTTAACGCTACGCGGTTCAATTGCGGAATAACTACTTTCTAATTGTGTTTCTATAAATATGCCTTAGAAACTAGTTAAAATAAAAAATTGGGGAACCTTTTGAAAAAAGGTGGTATTTGATAAACGTTGCCCGACAATTTATCAATCATCATACAGGAAGATACATGACGCCAGCTGAAGAAGTTAGAGTGAGGGAGCGTAAGTCCTTTCGGGTATCACAATTGTAATAATTTAAGAAGACATTATAAGGAGCATAAGTTTTTGGAGTAGTGATTGCATTAGTAGTAACAGTAGTGGTAGTGATGGTGGTACTAATGCAACACTTTTGCGCGGTTATAAATAAAGCCGAGCCGTCATGCTGATGCTGTACACATGTACACACACATACGTTAGAGCTATGCGTTTCTACTTAAATAATATCAGTAGAGGTAAAATAGAAGCACAGACTGTTCCGGAAAGGGTTTTGCTGATGTGCTTGAGTGCGTGCACGACGCTGCTGCTGTTGCTAGTAAGAGGAGTCAGTAATAAAAGGAAATCAATTGTATGACATGGGTGGTGAGGAATAAATGCAGTGATTGGAACGGGTGGAGAGGGGTTAATGGAAAGGGGGAAAGAGGCAGAGAGAAAGGTAGGTCGAGGAAAGACAAAAGGGGGTCAATTTGTCTCCTTGTTTTTATCCACATCTTCACCAATCTTCCCATCCATCACTCTGTCTTCCATATCCTCCTTTTTAGGTTGAGTTGGAGACGATGACAATATGGGGTCTGTAGGGGGTTGCTGCGATTCCTCAACAGCGGATGCAGATGGAGAAGAGGGGACTGAAGAAATATCATTTCGAATTCCCTCTGTCACTATGGATGAGGTCACTTTAGGGGGAGCGATGGTGGCAGCAGTGGTAGTGGCAGTAGAGGATGTGACTACCGATGGTTGAGCAGAGGGTTGTGGTGGTCGCGGTGCAAGGATGGTGAGTCCTCCGGCACTCAAAGTTGCTGCCGCCAGCGCGGCTCCATTCGGCCGAATCATGAGTCCAGATGGCACAATAATACTGCTTGTTTTCGACCCCGGTGCAGTCGTCTGTGTCTGTTGGGGTTGCTGTGGTTGCATCATTACTCCCGCGCTCCCGTTTGGCAGCAAACTTGACTGATTGGCAGCTGCAGCAGCTGCCATTGCAGCGGCCACAAAAGACGAAGCATCAGCTGATGCCGTTGATGGAGTATCTGGGGCTGTGGGGGGCAGTGGTTTTGGCAGTCCGTTGTTTGAAGTCCGAGCTCGCTTGTTAGCAAACCACTTTTTCACCTAAGAGAGTCCAAAGTGTTCAGTATTACTGAGTATTAAACGAACACCACTTGTGGTAATGGGATTAATTTAAGTATGCGCGAGCTCATTGACTAAGTATTACTGTTTTAAACGGAAATGCCAAGAAATTTTATGCTCTGCCACAACGTACTGAAAGGAAGAAAAATAAGATAGTAAATTTGTCTTTTAAGAATTGCCTTAACTCATTTGAGTACTCCCTTTCACTACTTTTACACCGTATGTTTTGAAATTTATGAGACTCATGTATGCTTGGACTGTTTTGATCAGGGATGGTTAGGGTGGATACCGCTGTGTTAGTGGGTCTCGAGATTTAATGGCACATGGAAACATCTTGCTCGCATCTCCTCATGAAACAAAATACCTGTACACCGTGTAGGTCTAACAAAGTAATAAGTTCAAATCCACTATTTCCTGACAGCAGAGAAAAGACAGAGTGGAGTCTGCACATGAAAATACTATGCTTTGGGAGTGGATCAACTCGTAGACGGCAGGCGCATACCAGGGTACCTTCTTGTGCCCATGCGCGCACCCGTGAAACCTCTCGCCCAGACAGAGTGCGTGTCCACGGCCGCACGCGCGGACACGCCCACCTACGTCTGCACCGCATTGATCGGGTCGTATCCTACAACCTCCTCCTCTGCCTGCTTCTCCTCCATATGCCGGACACACACATGGTCATCTGCCTGCTTCCTTTCCCCATTGCGCACGCATACATATACACATTGCGGGCGCACGCAGGTCTAGCAACTTGCTCGCGCACCCCAATCGATATTCGTACACACTCGCTCGGTGGATATGTGCTGAGGTCGCTGTGCTACCATTGGCTCTAAATGCCAACCAATCCCCTCTGAGGACACACGCATTTCGATGCCTTCGGGTGTGTGCGCAAACGCACCAAAAGATGCCCAACATGCACGCACGCACGCACATTCGTGTATTTGTGTATGTGGGGGTGTGGGATGGGCAAATGTTTGTATGCACCAGCTTTTCGGTCTGCCTCTGTAGAATCACTCAAGCAGTGGAACCATGGAGTAGGCGGAGTAGCCGAACCTACCTGAGAATAGGTGAGTTCGGACTTCTGTGCTAGCAATTTGGTGTCCTCAGTAGAGGGGTAGGGCTTGTAATGATGAGAGTTGTACCAGTCTGTGAGAATGCGGTTCTGCAGTGCAGTGAAGTTCTGCCGATGCGGCCTGGTGCCCAATCCACTGCTTGTGCGTCGACTCGCTTTTCCAGAGACGGTGGTTGATTTGCGCGCACCAGCGCTGCTCATTGGCGAACCGCTGTCTTCAGTCGTCACCTCAAGATGGTTGCTAAGTAACCCTTCAGTTCCACTCTCCTCAGCTGCCACCACTGAGGTGTCCGTGTCCGTGCCTGCCCCTCCGCCACCACTACCACCTCCACCAGCACCACAAGTGTTGGAGAGTTCTTCCAAACTTGTGCAGCTGGCGGTTTCACGGATGGACTGCACGGCCACATGAGGAGAGGCCGTATTGCTTCTGGGAAGGGCAGGAACCACGGTGACTGGGGTCATGGTACCATTATTCATCGATTGGGTCTGATTGAGTGCCTGAGCCCGCTGTTGTGGTGTCGCTGGTGCCGGAGAGGCCTGAGCAACAATGTTGAGAGGGCTGCCGGTGGCGGCAGCAGTTGCAAAGAGGGCAGCATCAAAGGATATTTGTGGTTGGGGTGGCGGCGGTGATGGTCGTGTAGCTTGGTGCTGCGGGGAGGTGATGGCAGGGGTTGTTGGTGTTACTGACGTACCACTCAAGCTCGTCACGAAGTTTGCCAAACTACTGGGTGGACTTCCACTAGTCAGAGCAAACGAGCCCAGACCTGCTGGTTGACCTGGAATTAGGCTTGCAACTGGAATAACTAATAATAAAAAAGAAATAACAATATATATATATTCGAATAATAAGTATAAAGTCATACAATGAATTCATTTTGTATAATCGTCAATTTCATTTACTAAACGAGAGGGCTAGCTGCAAGCCACCCCTACATTTTCCGATATAGCTAAAAGTATAATGGGTCACGAAGACTCCAAACAGGATCCATGAGGAAATATTGACTTTTTGTGTCACTTTGAGCAAGAATGTGTCATCATGGCAAAGATCAACAAATGAGGTTGGGGCTCTGTACTGTCGAGTAATGCCATGCGGGACGCAGGAACTGCTCAACAAAATCGATGAGACGCGATGACATGCACACTCGCCAAATTAGCAATTCTGATTTGAGCACCACTCACTCACTCTTTCAGCTTGCATAAATTAACTTTTACCCCTCCTCTCACTCATACTCACATTCTCCAGTTGGCAGAGTAATTCCCTTGAGGGAGTTTGCAGTGCCAGGTGGTGCTAGCGCGGATGCCAGCGCCAGTCCTGCATTAGAGAAGCTAATTGCACCAGAGCTGAGCCCATCTACTGCTGCCGCCACAAGGGGCGTCGTAGTCGGCGATGAAGCATTGCTGGTCACGAGGGGTGGAGAAGACTGCAGTAGCATCTGGGAAGAAATTACTTCATTTAAATAGTCCTTAGGTACTTGCGAAGCCTTGACTCCCGCCAACGCCGATATGAGAGCTTGTAGCTGGGAAATGTTGACAAGATGCGATGTGTTGGTGAGATGCTTCGTTGCCTCAGCGTCCATCTTAGGGATATCAACCGAGGTAGAGGTTTGAGGTGAGGTAGAAGGTAGACCAATAGTAATGTGCTGTACTCCAGCGGATGGCGATGGCATAACAACGCCGGTAAGTTGGGCTGTTAGGGCAGAGCGCAGAGCGTCTAGACCATTTGCAGCCGAGGCCTGCAGTTGATCTGTTTGGATCAAATCAGCCAATTTGAGCTCCGCAGTCTTCATTTGAGCTTGCAATTGGTGCTGTGCTTCGACTGTGGGTCTCATCTATTAAAAATAATGTTGAACTATGTTGCTAAGGCGGTCACGATCATTTCAGCACATTAATTCACCCTATATGAACCCTAGATTAACGTTCACTTTTCCCTCTGACTTAAGTAACAAATATTTTAGGGTGAAACATGCTACCTTTGATTTGAACTACAAATTTCAGTAGAATGCTCCTACGAATCAAGTATTTGGCGTGGCGAGAGAGCACTCAAGCCACACAAACAGTTGCTTTCTCTTTTTGAAAGGACTTCTGCTGATTTGCTTCTAACTTCTCATTTTAACCAAGGGATGGATAAGACCTCTTTCGAGGAGAAAGAGAAGAATTTCTCTGACCGCAAATTCACATCAATATAATATCGACTTTCCCGGTGTGTGCTGGTACCCTTTGCGTGAGTCATTCTCCTATGATTTGGAGATAGAGAAGGGGGTGGCAGCGGCAGCGGTTGAAGACAGTGATGATTATGCTGATGGTGATGACCGTAAGCTGGAGTAATGAAGGCATTCGTTGGCCCATTTCTCCCCTCCCCCCGGCCTACACCTCCAGGCGCACGCACAGGCATCGATGCGAGTCGTTGCGTGTGCGTGTACAGTTTGGGAGCGTGGGTGCCTGTGTGCGTGCATGTACACTGGTTTTATCGATTGGGCGTCGATGTGTGCGTGCGTACACACTCGCACTTTTTCCGCTCGTCCGTGCGTCTGAGCCAATGAGAGCGCGCGACAGCTCAGTCCACGGCTTGCAGCACACCAGGCATCAGGAGGGAAGAGAGGCCAAGATGGGCAATGTGTGCAATTTGTGCGTCTATGTGCGAGCAGTGTATGTGTGTGTGTGTGTGATGCCCTTACCTCATCCCTTCCTTCCTACCTACTTTCACGAACTATCAACATCCCAATCACCGTCGATGGTGTGCGAATGTGCTTGTGTGCGTGGGTGTGTGTTAAAATATTATCCACCGATGAAACACGAAGCATCATGAGGCCTTAAGGTAAATCAGCGATTACGTCGCCCCACTGATTCAGTGTGCACCAACCGTCCAGTGTTTTGCTAATGTCTTTGTGCCTACTAATAGTTTCAAGTGCTGTTGAGAGGCCTTGTAATGTCTGTCCTTCCGAGTTAAATGGCTTCATCATTCCTGCTTCTATATATCCGCAGTCAGCGAGTAATATAAATTAAGCGTAATCGTATTCTCAGAGTTAGAAGGTCATCGAACATCCTCGTTCACACCATACAAAGGGAATGCATATAACTTTTAAATTGGCTATTGTTTTGTATTCAAGGCTTATGGAACCTGTGGTAACTGCACGGTTCACCTTCTCTACTACCATTAGATTATAGTTCCATTCCACTCCAATGGTATCTCATTTGGAGGGAGGGAATAAAAGTGTTAATGCTTTGTTTCCCAAATGAAGCTAATCTTTATCAAAGGCTAACGTCGAGATGGGGGCAACATATGTGGTATCTGTACGTATTTTGTTGAATGCTTTAACAGACTTGATCTCAACACTTGACAAACGAATTAAGACCAAGTTTGCCATCAAGAAGTGGTAATTTGTCAAGCAAATTATTTTTGCCGCACTAAACACCACTGCTACGAAGGCGAAAGGCTGAGTCACAATCGAGTGCTCTTGAGAGGGGACCAGAGATGATGCGGTTCACTGTCACCTGCCAAGAACTGGCGGTAGCATACGCAGGTGTAAGGGCTGCCATCTCTAAAAAACCCCACCACCTTCCCTTCGCGTCATTTTCCTAGTCTCCATCATAGCAACACTTGAGATTCACAACCACCTGTCTCCGAGGCCTTCCTGTGACCGCAACAGGGGGCCGCCACATGCATTGCCGCTCAAACGTCAATTAGTCATTTTTCTGCGCCACTTTCCCGCTTAACAGTTTATTGTAACCAGTCCTCCATTCTTTTAGGAATCATCATCTCGATCTACGAAACAATTGTATCCATTGAACCGTCGTCTCGCGATTTCCGTTTTGACGAAACTCAGAAGATTGCCGCATTATGCTTAGCACATGGAATGTACGGATCAAGTCTTTAAAAGGACTGCAATATATGCGAAATCT